GAAGGCTTTTTATACATTACAGCGAAATGTGTTCGCAACACTGGTTTTAAATTAGAGTGCTAAATTTAAAAAGAAAACAAAGATGTCTGCAACCAACACATTGGAAAAGCAGCGCTGTTATGTGATGGATGAAACCATGGGTAAACCATATTGTTTAAATATAGATGTAATAGTCAGTGGGTGCCCTCCATCTCCCCTCCTGCTGCTTCTCAGTTCCCTTTGCACAGAACATTTCGTCCCCCCAAAAAAGGTTTGAGGAAAAAAGAAATAAATATAACGACTACTCAAAACAAACCTGAATCAGTGGTTAATAAGTAAAGTATGTTTACAATGTTTAAAATCCAAAAACTGTAAACATTGTGTCCCTTTCTATGAAGATTTCATACAGTCAGCAGCTCTGTGAGGTTGCTGCAAGTCAGCGCACACATGACTGTGTTCACTGACTTTTATACAGTCAATGAGCTGTGCCAAGTGGTACTCTCCAGAGATAAAAAACATGAACCCAATGCAGAAGATCCTCTCGGTGCCATTTCAGGCTGGCTGCTAAATGGAGTCATTGTCCTTAGACTCCCATGTTAAAACGTTCAACTATACAGCATAAAAAAAAGCATATTAACAACCTGAATACAATTTTTGGCCTCTATGTATAGTCTTCCCATGTGTAACACATCTCAGTGAGTTTTTTTGTTGTTTTTTGTTAACAACACATCCATCTGAATACTGGAGTTGGGTGCATGACCGCATTGACTGACAGGTGATAGTGCGGTCATGTGTCTGCTAGGCCTCATCCACTATGTTGGAGCATTTTTAATGGTTTATCTGAATAATACTGTGATGTGCTATGTGGTGCAGACCATCCTAGAATTTACCATAAAACTGAAATATTTCATTAGTCTGTTACGTGGCGCTAATTAGCCTGTATGTTTGTTAATGGTTTTGCTAACCAAGCTAGCTAACGCTAACTGAGACCGTCTAGCTTCTTAATTCATGTTATTTAGTTGCAGTCAGGGTTGCTGTCTGTAATATCCTGCAGCTAGAAAGCCTTGGTGTGAGGGCCATCGCTGAAGAAAGAAGAAATGTTGTGCACGTGGTTTGTTGGCTTTGCAAGTGATGGTGCAGCTGCTGCGATGGGCTGATAGAGGGGAACAGTCACGCTCCTTCGTGGAAAGATCAACCATAACCTAACCATCATTCACTGCTTCATTTACTGACTCATTCATGCAGTGAGTCTTTTTTTTCCACACATTTATTGACTTCCAACTTGGACATCAAGACATCAGTGGAATAAGATGTCTTTATCGCTGTCTAGTGATTTTCATATGTGGGTAGAAGAGGGTAAAGTGCCACAAGAAAGCAAAAAAAAAAAATCTGGCAACAAAACAGTGGGATTTCTCTGGAATCTACTATAGTGCAATATTTATTAATTCTTTCTTTAAACTAACAGTAATTTATGATAATGCATTTTGACATTTTTTTATATTTAATGTTAAATAAACGGTACAACTGGCCAAACAAGTGGAAGGATGGTTTAATGCTAGCATCTTAAACTGTTTGTATTGTTGCATTTGATTGTGAGTTTCTGAAGAAGAAAAGTTGAGATTAGAATTATTGCACATATTAATTAGATTTTTCGTTTAAAATTAGATTTAAAAAACCATTACAATGCGGTTATTTTTTTAAGAGCTGGGCGGGACTCAAGACCTCTGTGGTTACTGAATTATTTTCATAGCATTTTTCTGTGTTTTTATAATGAAAATCCTGTCAGAGATTTCTTCCTGTTAAGAGGGAGTTTTCTCTTCTCACTGTCTCCAAGTGCTTGTTCATAGATGGTTGGCTGGATGTTGGGGGTTTCTCTACATGATTTTAGTGTCTCTACCTTACAATATAAAAAAGCAACTTGAAGTGACTGTTACAATTTGGTGCTATATAAGTAAATTTTAATTGAATGTCACTTGCCTTATTTAAATTAGTTGATTTAGATCTAAACTTTTATCTATATATTAAATTACAGAGAATTTTGTTTGTTTTTGTAAGCTAGCTAAACAGGCTTCAAGGTATGGTGGACCTAAAATGAAAAATTAGAAATAAATAAAGAATATTTCACAAAACAATAAAATGGAAACATATCCTGAATGCTTTTGTTTCGTGAAACCGTGTTCTTCGTCTTGTTTTGTTTTGTGTAATGATGCTGTTTGTCTCACCTCCAGGTCACCGCAGAAAAGTTATTGTCTGTAGAAAATTGTTTGGTAATTCATCCCATAGGAGTTGAGTTGCTCTAAATCAAACATACTAACCTCATGGGGCCACTAGGAAAAACAAATTACCAGTGTCACCAGGATTCATTGCAAAACACCCCCTCAGTGTCCTGTGATAATATCACAGCACTGGACTGGTTCAGTTTGCCTCGGCATTAGTAAATATAAAGTCATAGTGCAATTTAAACCTTAATATCTGAAGACTGTAAATGTGTTTAAACACCAGATTGGATATTACAAACGTAATTAGAAGTTGCCAAAAGCCGCTCTATATTTTTTAATAACTTGTGGTGGTGAATGAGTTATTATCACTGTTGTAGAATGAGCTAAACATCCACTGGGGGTTGAACCCCCTAACATTTTTTGCTACCCTAAACTAATATAAAGTGGATCTGCTGATATTTTGTGACCTCAAATTTATAACTGATCTTTAATATTAAACTGAGGTGATACATTTCACAAGGAAAGGGTTAAATCTAAATTTGGGATGACAAAATGTTGAGAGGTGTTTTCACCTCCGAAAGAAATAAAAAACTGGGTTACTACCCTTCAGCAAAAAGAAAGGCGTGCGTGGCCTTTTTCCATTTCTGGCCTCTTGAATAATTTCATTAACATTACTTAAACCATTTTCAAGCAAATGAGTAGAAGATTACCACAGAGGCAGGTGATGTTGCCTCCTGGTAACATACAGATATCACTGGTCACCAATAGGTGGCATCCCAATCCAACGCCATAGCATCTTTGCTACAGTAAACACAAGTGACTGATAACACCTGAAGAGGAAATGTGGAGAGAAATCCAACGAAAACAACTCAAAATATCCTGAAGTCTGGCACTGAAAGAGAGAAGTGAAACTTAACTGGTAACAACTGCCAACTTATTTCTTAGAGCTAATAAACTAAAGAGTGTCTGTTTTCTGGGGCATATCTGACAACACAAAACACTCGGGGGGGGGGCTGCCGAACTCAGACAGCCCCACAACAGCAAGTCAGACCACTGAAACAGGAGCGCTCTCTCTTGTTACAGGCCGCTTTGACCCCTCTGGGAGCCTTGTCAGAGTTGTGATTGACCAGCATGGGTCATCTATACTTTGCCAAGGGTGTCACGGAGTCATGTTGCTAGGAAATGGCATATTACTGCTGCCAATCACGCGCTGGCTGCGGTAACCTGAGCAACTGTCAGGGCTCCGTCTCGATCGCACGGAAAGCTGCTGCTAGTGGCTACAGTGTATATACATTACATCTCGACAGGCACAAATGTCGCCATTTTTCACGAAGCGCACTTGAACGCTAAATCTGGGAGCATTAAATCAGGATGCTTTAGCTTGAGGTTGACACGGAATAAGCTGGAGCTCAGCGGTAAAGCACACCCGACGTCGTCAATCAAGTAACTGTTTTCGCTGCAAGAATAGCTGCCTGTACACATCTGGATCACCTATACTGTCGCCTCGCTGACATATATGCTCAGAAGGGTTTACGCCTGCCTTTCACCACTTCACTTGTTTTTCCTTTAAAAGGTAGGAATCTGCAAAGTGGCAGAACTGGCCTGGGAAATGTTTCGGACACTTTTCTTGTCGGTACTGATTTTTCTGAGAAGTGCTGACATAAGTAAACGTCTTGTTATTAATCAAGAAATATCATTTGTCAGGTGTTGGTTGTCAAGTATTTCCAACAAAGGCAACACAGTGAATTAAACCTTGGGTTAACAAATGCACTACAAAAAACTAATAAAGAGAAATCTTTGACTGAAAGCCATTCACATCAGAAATGAAGACAACAAAATATAAATCTTCAGTGTTATTTATTTACTAAAATATGACCTCCCCTTTCATTGGATCCCACCACAGGGTGCTCCAAGTTTACAAAAAATATCACATCTCAGTCGATTTGCCGTGTGAAAATAAAAACAATCAAAAGAGGCGAGGAGCTCGGAGAGAGATGTGACTGTAACATTCATTCTCGGAGAAGTTTTAAGACACAACGCATTCCACACCTGCCGTGTGTGCACTTGAAAACGAGGAGAGATTTATGTGGTAAACTTTACAGTCAGCTCCCCTTTTATAAAATAAATACAAGTTCTCAGTAGGAATAAAAGAAAAAAAAAACCAAGGAACCAAAACAGATGATCACAAACCACGGGGGCAAACCAAGTGTGTGCACTGCGCTGAGCTTACAGGCATCTGATGCAGGGAGAAAGCCACTGCAGTCACACTAACACCGATCCCGATGCTGGAGCTCGCTGCCATTTCAAAATCATCATCATCAACATTTGCAACGAGAACCCTGAAAATCCCAGAGCTGTCACGCAGCGTCCATCCATCAATCAGGCGAGTCCACAGGGCGGCAAGTGTCCTCTCAGAGCAGTTGCGCCTGCTGCAGAAGCATCCGAGCAATGTGCAGACATGCAAGAGCTGCGTGTCCACTGAATTTTAGCAGTAGGTCCTGGTTTGAAACAAGAAATCTTGTATAAACAGATAATGTATAAAGAACCAAGAAAAAAAAAGTTGAAGATGCTCTCAAGTTAAAATCCAGGAGTCGCAAGTCCCTCCCAGTTCCACTTGAAGCTGCTGCGAAGTCAAAGGAAGCAGCAAGTTGCAGTGATTAAAGTTAAAGTAACCATCAAGACGTTTTGGGGAGGGCGCTTATTAACGTCCTGGCTGAGCAGATGAACACACACACTCAATATGAAGCGACAGCCAGCAGATACTAAGCTTAGCGTACAGGCTGAAGATGGAGTGAACTCCTCAGCTAAAATCTCTGCTAGCTCGTTCAGTATTTTACCCCTTCTCCATGCTAAGCTAAGCTAAATGAACTGGCTTCATATTTAAAATAGAAATTCGCCAGCGGCGTCAATCTTCTCATCTGACTCTTAGCCAGGAAACAAATAAGCATTATTTCCCAACACGTTGAACCATTCCTCTAAAGATTTAAGTAGGTGGTGCATCACTGGTATCCCAGAGCCGACGCAGACCCCAGTCTTTGACTGTAGAGTGCGTAATGAGGGTAGTATGGACCTGTGGTGGGCAGAGAGTGCAGGGAGATGGAGGAGGGTCCAGAGGGGAGATGGACCTTACTGTAGGGGTGATAGCGAGCCAGACCCAGGCTGGGGGGAGCCCTGAGAGAAAGAGAGCTGTGCATGGAGCCTGGACTGTTCTGATGTGGGAGGTGAAGGTGGCAGGAGGCAGGCCCTGAGGAGGAAGCAGAGAGCAGCTTACTGTCCATCCCCACCGGCAGGGCTGTGTGCGTGCGGAGGTGAGCCAGGAGTTCGTCTGACGTTGCGAAGCGCTTGTCGCACGGCCCTCCGGCTGAGACCCAGTTGCAAGCGTGTGGCAGGGGATCGTTGGGGAGCATGAAGCCGTACGTGTAGAGGGGATGAGAGAGGGAGGAGGATCCACTGGATGACAAGGAGCTTTGGTGGAGAGAGTGGAGGGGGTGGGAGGGATACACCAGGGGGAAGCTGGATTTGAGGGTGGAGGAAGGGTCGTGGATGCAGGAGTTGCAGTTGCTTCCACCAAGATGGGATACACTTGGGTAACTTAGACAGTAGGGGTCCCTGCATAAACCCTGCATGAAGGAGGGAGGGGAGGCGCCCGTAAGAGGGCTGGAGCTTGGGTGCTTTCCTGGTACGCCCATGCTGCCCACGCTCAGGCTCGACTTGGTCGGGTCCAGCCCAGGAACAAACTGGGATGGGTAGCCTGCGTAGCCCCCCACTACAGATCCATGGTAGCCCATATTTGAGGAAGGCAGAGGGAAGAGCGGCTGGCTGGTCTTATAAGGAGAAATGGGCGTAATGTGTCCAGGGCCAAGGTTAGGCTGGGTGGGCTCTGCTTTGCCTGCGTCATGGTTGGAGCCTCCGTCAGAGCTTCCGTTACTGCAGTTTGTGCTGGCCCGAACGTGACTGGAGTTAGCGTGGTGCGGGCTGTCCGAGCTGGCCTTGTTTACCTCAGCGTCTTTTTTGGGATTTATGTTATTGTTGTTATTATTATTGCTGCTCGTGCTGGTGGGACTGCTCTGGTCACGTGCAGATTCACCAGTGGGACTCTGGGAGTGTGGGGCGTGCTGTCCACCTGGAGAGTGGCTCTGTTTGGAAAGCTGCTGAGCATGTCCCGGTGGGGTGCTGCTCCTGGCTCTGGAGCTGGGCGACACAGCGTGAGGCGGATAGGACTGCTGGCCACTGGTTGAATTTCCATTAGCGGTAGTGCTACTGCTGCTGGGCACCCTGAAGCCGACTTTGTCACTGCCGGAGCCGCTGCTGCTGGTGGCTCCGTCTCTGCGACATTCACCGCTGCCTTTGTTGTAGGGCTTGAAGCTGGATTTGTCCTCCAGGGCGTGGCGGTGCTCGCCGAGCTTCAGGCTGGAGACAGATGACCGACTGCTGGGCTCCTTGTCCCCCTGACTGCAGGAGGAGTTGAGCTTGGAGGAAGAAGGAGGGTCCGGTTTACCAATTTGAGAGCAGGTCTGAGCAAGCAGGGCAAGGGGACTCTTCTTTGCATCCAGCTACAACAAAATTAAACAAGTTTTACTACATTTTTTAAAGCTTTCCAAAAAAAACTAAACAACAAAACACCCAGAAGTTTTGTGTGACTTTGTGTAGGCCTGCTGACAGTTATTATGTACCAAATGCTTTATTGCTCTGTGCATAAAATGCCAGAGGGGTCTTTGTAACTTCCTAGAAGTCGGGGGGGGGGGGGGTGTTTAAGCTTTAAGCTTCAGATGATTACAAATAAATCAGCATTTTTAAAGCATAAAAACAAAGAAAAAAAATGCCCTTCTGTAACATCGATTACACTGCACTCAGTGTCTTTGTTCTTTAGGAAAACATCTGACATTTGAGAACTTCACCCTGTGCTCTGGGAAGGTGGGATGGCTTCTTTTAGACACTAAAGTAGGTTAATACAAAAAAGCTATTCACTTAAGTGAAAATAATAATAATTATTATTACATCACATGTTAGCAGACAACAAAAGCAAGAAAAGGATTTGATTATCTAAACAAATCTTCATTAACTTTAACAATTTATCAACAAATCAGTTTTTAATTTTGGAGTAAATTGCGAATAGAATTAAATAGATATCAGTTTATCGCAGTGCGCGTGTGTGTGTCAGCGTGTGGAGTTAAAAAACACAGACCACAGCATATTATCAGCTCCCTGCAAATGCGGGATTTTTTTTATCTGTTGTCATAGCAGATTTCAGCCCTGTGTTGCGACATATCCACAGATCTGCAGTGTAAGAACAGTCCTCTCTACAAAGGAACGCTAAAAAAAAAAAATTTTTTTTTAAAAAAGTCCATAAATACCTCGATGCTCACTGGTGCGGGTGTTAGAGGCTGTAAATATTCCGGGTGTAGCAAGTGTCCGGTGTGCGCCGTCAACATCTTGATAACTCGGATAGGAAGCCGCTTTGCCTGTCGAAGTGGGTCCAGAGGGGTCAACAAAGAGAGCGCAGCACCGGGACGGGACTTCTTAGGAACGCTGGTCTCACTGAGCTCGATCCGCGCGCTAACTCGATCAACAGCTGATCCTGAAGGGAGATATTTCATTGGAGAGAGGGCGCAGGGGGTGGCCGTGGACGTGCGTTACTTTATTTTAAAAAAAAACTTATAAAAAATAGTAATAATAAAATAAAGGATAAAAAATAATAATAAATAAAAATAATGATTCAAAATGGGTTTGGTAAATATAATCCAGCGGACATGAAACACAGACGGCCGTCCTTAAATGTCCCGAAGGACGGAGAAGCCTTTCAGCCCCAGTGCGCTACTTCATTTGGAGCATCCTCGTCCCAAACACGTCTCCTGTATTCCGACTTCAAACCCCACAAAATAAATAAATAAATAACAATAATAATAAAGTCCACAAAAAAGAGCACGGTGTCCTTTTTGGCAAGGCGCAAACGAGAAAAGAGCCACTTGAGAATCCGAGTGCTCGGGAAACGTCCCACTGCGTGTCTCCGTGCAGGACTTCAGCAGCTCACTGATCACAACTGGCGGACTTCAAAGTGCAGCAGCCGCCGTCCGTCCGCTGGGTGGCCGCATCGGTAATAAGCGGGGCGGGGAGGACGTTCGTGAAGGCGGAGCCACCTCGGTCTGCAAGTGACGATCGTTACTCTTTTGATTTGTTTATATGATCATCCGTGGGGGGGAGTGGTGTCACAGGGTATATTTACTCAAATACTATACTGAAATATCATTTTCAAGTATGTGGAGGATATGGCAAGCCACGAGTGCCAAAAATGAATTAAACGAATAAGTTATGAAATATTTAATTAAATGTGTCCCGAGTTTATTAAATTGGGAAATAAATAATTGATGATTAAATAATTATTCGTAGAATTATTTGATTAATTCATCATCATCATCAATTATTTATATAGCACTTTAAAAACACACCTGGTAGACCAAAGTGCTGTACAATACTAATATGCACATAGTAATAAAACCAGACATAGCAATAAAATTAAAAAATAAAATAAAATATATAAATATCAGTTACCCACAGAGTTAAAAGCCAGGGAATAAAAAGAGGTTTTTAATAAAGACTTAAAAACTGGCACTGATGTAGCCTGTCTAATATGGAGAGGAAAGTTATTCCAAAGCATCTGCGCTGCAACAGAGAACACTCGGTCTCCTCTAAGTTTCAGCCGTGACTTTGGCACCGAAAGCAGCAACTGCTCAGCTGACCGAAGGGAACGAGTGGGGGACGTGGGGCTTCAACAAGTCAGACAAATAAACAGGTGCCAGACCATTTAGAGATTTAAAAACCAATAAAAGGACTTTATAAAAATCGTGCCGCAGCATTTTGCACTAATTGCAAGCGTGACAAAGTGCCCTGCCCAATTCCTATTAAAAGAGAATTGCAATAATCTAAGATTTGTGATCGAACTCTTTAGTTGAAAAGTCAAAGCTGCAAGATCAACATCTGGAGTATGAGAAAAACAATTTGGGCCAAATACAATCGATCATTAAAATTTAAAAGGTTTTTTGCCATCCATGCTTTGACATCAGTAAGGCAGTCAAGCAGAGGTCGACTTGGGAGACTATCAGAATGACTAAAAGGTAAATAGAGCTGGCAGTCATCTGCAGATGGAATGGCACTTTATGTTTTCGGAAAATCGCGCCAAGAGGCAAAAGGTACAGTGAAAACAATAACGGCACAAGAATAGATCCCTGTGGCACACCCCACAGCAGAGGGGCCACAGAGGATGAAGACGACCTCAACTTAACACAAAAGGTCCTATTTAAGAGATAGGACTTTAACCACAAAAGTGCCGAACCAGAAATTCCCACACAGTGCTGTAAGCGGGAGATCAGCACTGTGTCAAATGCAGCGGTCATGTCCAACAAGACCAGCACTGTATATTTACCACGGTCTGTCACTATCAGGATGTCATTCATAACTTTTACGAGGGCTGTCTCCGTACTGTGAAATGGCTTAAAGCCGGACTGAAAGATTTCTGACAATTTAGAGTCATTCAAGTAGTCCATTGACTGATGGACTATAACTGATTAAGAACATGCAGTTAATTATTGAATGATGTGTTTATTTAATTCATTTTGGCACTCATGGTTTGTGCACAGCTAAATCTGAACTGGACCACAATACCAAAGGGTTCTGTTGACACCATGCTAATTATTATGGCTCTGAAGAATAACAGTTGTATAAATTTTTATTAGATAAAATCATAGTTTTTAAAGATACATATACAAATGAGCAGAAAGTAGCTGTTTGTGAACAGATATATGCATATATAAACTGCTAGTCCATGGTTCCTATACAAACCCATGTGCATTAAACAATATGCCCATACAATTTAGTGACCGTTTTGTTGTTTTTGTTTATTAAAAACTTAGAGAACAGGATGTCTCAAATACTAAATGATGGTGTGAGTTTGCAAAAACAGAAGTTTTTTGCACAGTATTATAGGATGTTGCTTTGGCACTGCACAAGTACTCTATAAAGCATGGATTAAACTGTTACCAGGAGATATATTTAAAAAAGTTCTGTGATATTATTACCCCCATTTGGGGTGGGGGTAATAATCTAAAGCAAAGAATAAAGTAAAACTTTTTAAAGCAAACACAACAGTGAAAACCTTTTGTGTTTGTGGAATCAAACTATGGAATAGTCTTTCAGCAGGTCTGCAGCAATATTCAAACATTTTACGGTTTAAAAAAGGATTTCAAGAAACAATTTATTTGTATTTAAATTTCCATATTTAGTGTACATATGCATATACATTTTAAAGTGAAACGTGTCTACTTGTGTCCATTTGTAATGTGTCAGTTGTAGCAGAATTAACTTGTCATCTTACTTGCCTGTGATGGTCCCTTCATAGTTTTTGAAACTGCACACAACTTTCAAGCTCCCTCACACTCACCGTTCCACATGCTCAATTACATTACAATCCACTCTGATTAGTTAAGAAGAACCTGCCATAATATGGATCAGTGTAGTGGCTGAATAGGCCTATTTGCTGTACACCAGCACAAACACACCAATAAGGCAAGAAATTCCACATATTAACTGTGAACAAGGCTCATCTGTTTATCAAGGACCATTCCAGGTGACAGCCTCATGAAGCTGCTTAAGATACAGCTGATAGCGTGCAAAGCTGTCATCAAGGCAAACTCTGAGGAATCTGAAATATGAAACGTGTTTTGTTTACACAGTTTCTCACACTGCAAAATTCCATGTGTGTGATTTGATGATGTGGATGTCTTCCACTATGTTCTACAGAAAATACATATGTAGAGTGAAGAAGAAAAATGTGGGCATTTGTTTATGCACAGATGGCCTTACATATGACTACAGAATAGTTGGGCATGCAGAGGAGTTCATGGCCTACTCAGTAACTGCAAGGTATCAGGTCCTGCGGCTGCAAGCTCAAATCTTCACCCTGGTTTTTGCCAAATATGGCAATGCATTGTGACCAAACATCTCCAAGTTGGTTTCATCAGTCCAAAGGACATTAATCCTGAAATCCTGTGCTTTGTTCAGGTGAGACGTTTGCAAAGGTTTGCCATGTTGCCATGCTCTTTTCACAAACACAGAGGCCTTTCTCCTGACAATCTTTCCAAACACGCCACACCTGTTCTGCCTTTTTCTAATTGCACGGTCATGAACTTTAACATTTAACATGCTAACTGAAGCCTGTAACTAGAGTCTAAGGTGTAGCTCTTGGAGGGGGAGGGGGTTTCTTGGACTTTTTTTGAGCCCTGCTGGTGAATTTGCTGGAAGTCCCAATAAATTCACCCCATTTAATCAAATCTTGAGGCACAACATGATCCCAGAAAAAAATCAATTTAAATTCATTTAAATTTATGCATAATTACTTTTTTTACGGTGTTTTCTTCTTTTCCCCTTCCATTAATAATTTCATAACCTCAGATATTTCTGTTGGCCCATTGGCGAAGTTTAACCCAAAGGTCAGAAACCACTAACTGTAGGGGAAAAAAAGAACTCCCTCTAAAGCTGCTTCAATATTTAATTAATGATAATGTATTACTCACAGGGCTGACCTTCTGTTGGATGAATACGTTACTTCTGATGCTATAAGTTTGTTATATCCTGCATTTAAGACATTTATATGATGGAGGTTAAGTAACTGGATAAAGTATTCAAACCATTTACTTAAAGTAACAATGCAACACTCCAAAACACTCCATTAACATTATTAACAGAATCCATAAAAAGAGTTAAAATAAAAATAAACCAAAAATGTCTTGTTGGAAAAACAACCAACCAAGAGGTTGGGCTATTTCAAGGAGTAGGTCAATAAATTTAAGCAGTTGTGAGATGATTAAATGGAAAGTAAAAATGAGCAAGATGAATTTCGATTAGATTTTAATACAGTGTTGACTTTTTCGCATATACTGAACATTTGTAGAACTTTGTTGAAACAACATTTTCCTACAGGGTCACAATCTAAGGATTTCCAACCACGATTTTAATCTTACAAATTACATCTTCGAGTCTTACGATTTTATGGAAGAAACTGAAAACAGTACGGTAAACTAAATGTGTTTATTTTACTGTATACAGGAGTTTATAACTCTTTGACTTTGTTTTCCATAAATGGCAAAAGAACTTCCAAAGTAATACTGTAAAAATATTTATTTTGGCAGACAAATTAATAATCTGCATCTTCAAATCAGATAATTATATGCTCTAAACCCCTGGACAGATGTTATCCTTCATTTTAAGCCAAAATTGCTTAATCTATGGTTTCCTACATCTCAATTTGCACAAACATAAAGGCTGAAATTGGTGGGCATTTTTCCAAAGTCGTGTCAACAATTAATGATTAAAAGAAAATATCTGATAATCGAACTTTTTTGAGGTCATGGAAAAACAAGTTTGTTTAAGCAACGAAGTAGACGCTCTGTGGGGACCACAAAATCCCAACCATTGGATCATAAGCTTGTGTGCAACAAATATTTGGCATGTGGCGTTTCAGCGTTTAAATAAAACCACACAATCACGAGCAAATTTGGAAGACAAAACTTTAGTCAAATGCCAATTCGAATCGTATCATTTCATGAAACAAGGATCAAAGGGAAGGACGAGAACTTTCACCGAACACAAGAAAATAGTCTGCTGTCAACTTCGCAGAGAGGGATACCATGAGTCTGCTGGGACGCGGTTCAGAAACCTCTTATTAAAACTAAAAATGCTCTTTTGTGAGGGTAATGGTGCAGAGAACAAAGTGTGCAGACACATGAGTCATCTTTCAGTTGACGACAAGCAAAGCATTGCGTAAAAGGACAAAAACCAAAAGGGGGTTTGTGAGTCCAGATGCTTGTTTTTCATTGCCAGAGATCACCATGCCTCCATTATTGCCAACAGCATCATTCTAGAAAAAGGAAAAGGAAAAAAGAGCCCATATTTATGTCCTTATTTTTCTTGTCTTGTCACACTGGTGCACACAGTGTTCCTCAGCATTAAAGAAATCCATTAACTTTGGGTACACTGTAAATATAAACAAAATAAAAGT